TGCTTTCAACATTAAAAAAAATTGTCTGTTTGAAGAAATTTGAAATAAAAAATATTTAAAATATTGTTTGCTTATTTATATTTCAACTTTCTTTAAACAAACACATAATCACAGAAAGGTGGAAAGAGATAGCGTTTATTTTCTCCATTTCCTTCTCTCCCCCCGCATCCTACACGATAATAAATTCATATCTTTCTTTCACCCACTCTCTATATATGACTTCTGGCAAACATACAAGCAACATTCACAGACTTTTATGGTCATAAAAGATGCTTTTATTATATAATAATCAAGGCACTTTTCAAATTGTAGTGGTTAATATGCCAATCTCACAGGCACTTAATAATAAACTTGATTCTCACAGTATACTCTGTATTGGCTTACAAAACTTTTTGTCTAGCTCCAATAAAAATTGAGCTCGCTATAGTGAAAATTTGTGAAACCAGCTTGTTAACTATCACCCCTAACAACTTAAAGTTAGTATTGAGAACAAATAAATTATCCTTACCTTCAACTTTAGGGAATTCTTTCTCAATGTATCCTTGAGCCTAAAATAAGAGAGCGTAAAAAGAATTTTAACTGAATGAACTAGGATGTTGCCCATCATATGCAGGTGTTTTAATGTTGGGTATACACTTTAGCTTTGGATGATAATATCAGGTTTTGTTACTTTTTGGTCATCCATATTTCAGTTACCTGATAAATTTATGTAAATTCTCATCATACACAAGTAAGGAAGCTAAAAGCATTGTATGTTATGTTTTGTCACTTTTGGTCATCTATAAATCAGTTGCCCCATGAGATGTATGAAAATTTAAGCTGGTTTTCATCACATATGCAAAAGGAAAGTTAAAAACTAACACACACACATTTAGCATAAGCAATTTTACAAAAGCATTTCCCCCAAAATACTTTACTACTTTTTAGAGCATTTTTTTCATTAAGAACTTATAAGGAACAGATCTATTGTTTTGTTTTTATTTTTATATTTTTAAAATACTAATAACTACTAAACAGTTACTGTACATGATTAGTGTCACTGAAAATGAACATTGAAGCGTATAAACAATCACAATAACAAAGATATTGTAAAATAGGTATTTCTTTGTTGTACATTACATTTATTTTAACTTGTTATAAGTTATGCAGGACTACTTTTTAAGGCTAATTTTACATACATATGATGTCAAAATTGTGATCACAAAAGCACTGGTGACATACAAGTGCATTGTTAAATTTAATGTCCAAGTTCATCCATTATGGAGTTTGAGGTAATATAATGGACATAGTTTTTGTGTTATCGTGTATACTTTTTTTTTTATTTTTTCTTGTAATTAATTTGCTTCAAGCAAGGTGATAATGCCTCTAAGATGCAAAGAGCTACCAGGAGTGAAATATAATGAACAGACTTTAGAAGGAACTGGAAACCCAATCCTAAACAGGGAACAAGGGATAAATCTCTATTCCTGTTCAAAAGACCAAGGTGGAGTGTAAATGGGACAATGGATATTTTGTGGATCTTGTACGCTTTTTCTTTTCTGGCATTGTGTATATAAATTATCACAAACATATCAAAAACAGGTATACATTTAATCAATGCCAGAGTTAACTTTACATCAGAAGCAGGAAACGCTTGGTTCTGATGTAAAGTTAAAACAGAATGTAAACAATGATTCCACAAATACATCAGCAAGACATTCAGAAATTTAAAGGAAAAAATATGTGAACATAAAGTGGATTTGTTATTTAACAACACACTGAATGACCTAATGTGCTACCAGAGCATTTATAATCACAATTTTGAACTAGAAAATGCAGTTTTATTTAAAAACTGACATATATATAATCACAGACAACCTGTTTCAGTGTATCATGACTCATCAGTGTTGTTAGGTCTTCCAATAGCTTTAAGCTGGGATCGAAACTCTTCTAATTTAGCATCAGTTAAAGACTTTATTCCTAAGCTATCAACACACAGAGAAAGGGAATCTTTTAAATGTATTATATATATATATATATATATATATATATATATATATATATATAATAAAAAAGCCATTGGTTTATACCAATGACTTCCCATACTTAATACTTCTCATTTTTCAATCTAGCGTGGTCATGTGTGACGTCACAAGCTGCAACGTGATTTTCACTTCAGCGTCATGTGCTAGACCAGAATTCAGAGCACTCATTTAATTGTGTAAGTAGGTAGGAATCCTTTTTTTATATGGGTTTCATTCAAGATTACTGACAAGGTACTGGTGAGTAAGTTTTTCTTTTATCATATTTTCTTGCATGCATTTTTTGGGGTCATAGAGTTTATGTTGGTACATAGTATGTAAGAAATGTCCAAATGATCTTTGGGTTTGAGTGTTTTGGCTAACATATTAGCTATTATTGAGGATGTTTTTGTTTGCCTTGATATGTAATAATAGATTAGTCAAAGGTGCTGTGATTCAAAAATTGTGTTATCAGTTCTTACACACTTTATGTCCCAAAAAGAAATCTCTTGTATGAATGCAAGAAAAAAAAAATCACAGTGCCTTGTCAGTCATCTTCAATAAAACCTCTGTCACTCTCTATATATAATCAAGTTTTAAATAACAATTAACCAATAAAGTACAAAAGATTCATTTTCTCATTATAACCAGCTTAAATATGTCTTTACTTCTTATCCAGTGTAGACTTCAGCTTGTTTCTGTCTCACACACGTGTGTGTGTGTGTGTGTATATATATATATATATATATATATATATACATTAAAGTCAACACCCAGAGGCAACAATCTGTTTTTCATGCTAAATGCAATCATCAGACCTGAAGATCTGTTAAATGATTGCTGACGATTGTGTTTAGCATAAAACAGACCGTTACTTCTGGGTATTGGCTTCAATGTCCACTTTTATATTTACATAAGCTCTATCCCTGGTATTGAAAACTTTAACCCATACATATAGCATACCGTAAAACTATATTTTATCATTTATATATATATATATATATATATATATATATATATAATTAATAATTTAATCTCATATTTTGATGGAAGAAAACAGTTTTACTTACAACTGCTTTCCTGTTTTCATGATTGACCATGTCCAAAAGTGGGTAGGCATCGCAGACATCATCCAGAAGACAGTAGTTTTTGAAACCAAGTCTGTACAAAGTTAAGGTCAGTATAATCAAATATACAATGACATGATATAAAAGTTATAAAAGATGCATAAATCTGTTGACATTTTGCACGGCTGCAATAATACATTGAGTATTTTTTGAATGCTTGAAAAGTTTTCAACTCTCTTTCACAAACATGATCTCATTAAATAAGGTCCAACCTTATTTAACTAAAACAGAATTAAAAGAATCGCAAAGGACAAAACATTGGACAATCTACAAAATGGATATAATATCTGAGCAATGAAATGTCAATAGGTGAAGCTGAATGATAAGAATCCTGAAACTATAATCATTATATTCTAAGATTGTACTATTTAATTATGGCGTTAAAATGAAATATATATATATATATATATATATATATATATATAGTTGGATAGATGTGCACATCTATCCAACCAAATATGTTAGCTCTATCTCTGATATTGAGCGCTTTCTAATAAGTACCGTGCATATAATATATAAATAATTATACATGTATATATTTATTTATATTTATATACACTTTTCACACACACATATATATATATATATATATATATGAGGTATGTCTGAAAAGTAATGAAACGCATGTCAGAAACAATTTATTTCAATTCCAAATAACAAACTATATGGTTTCTCCTTTAAAATAATCCCATTTGAGTCTAATGCACTTTTCCATCCTTCTCTGCCACACTTATATGCACTGTTGGAAGGATTCTTTTTGGATGCCTGTTGTTTCAGACCACTTGATGGTTTTCATGCCTTGAAAATTGGTCCCCTTGAACTTGGGCAAAAGTAAAAATTGACACAGAGCAAGATCAGGTGAAGAGGGAGGTTGTTCCAGTATGGTGATGTTCTTCTCAGCCGGGAACTACCAGAGACTTAGGGTATTGTGAGCAGGTGCATTGTCATGGTGAAGCAGCCACGATTTGTCCTCCCACAATACTCATCTGTTCTCATGCAATGAGTGAAGCAAATGCCTCAGGATCACTTTGTAGACTTGCTGATTGATCATTTGGCTATGTGATAAGAACTCTTTCTGGTCTCTCATATCAAAGAACAGATAAGTCCAATTACTTTTCAAACAGACTTATAAATATATATATATATATATATATATATATATATATATATATATGAATGTTAAAATTAACGTTTCTTCAGGTGGGAAACTTTAGTAGCACCATGGTTTCCCCACCTGAAGAAACATTAATTTTTAACGTTGAAACAAGATGTACAGTTATGTAGTGGATATGTGTATAATAAATAAATATTTATTGCTCTACTTTTGTATTGAGCCCTGTTTTAAATTAATGTTTTGAATGCTGAAATTTTACTCTTCATTCTTTTACATTTGGAGATATATATATATATCATTAAAACAAGTGGAAGAGTAAGGAAAAGAAATTACTAATTTTTATGTTTGCTCTTTTTCACTTTGTTTTAATATATTATTTTCACTGCCTTTGTTGCCATCTGCAAGTTGATTTGAATCCGAGTCGACATTGCCTACTGGTGGGCAATTTCAATTGTTGGGTGGGCAATGAGCAACTGAACAGAAAATAGCATGCAATTTGGTGCGAAATATAGGATTTTGAATATTAAATTTGTTTAAATTGTTAAATTTTTGTCACACTTGCAACACTAATGCTAACCATAAAACTAAATTATATATGTGTATAGTCAATCAAATTTACTTTCATTTGTTCTTTAATATACTTGTAGCAGCAGCTGCCACATAAGTCAGCATTATTTGTTGCCTCCTTTTGGCATTTTTTTACTACATCATAAAGTCAGTTTACAAGCCAGTAACAAACTTTTAACAATTTTGGTATGCTTTTAAATATTTTTTATACAGGTGGGTTGTAGAAATTTTTTTCCATGTGAAAGTGAGTGATGACACAAAAAAGGATGGGAACCTCCTCGTTCTATACAGATCTACTCGAGCTAAGTAAAGTCATATTTTCCCAAAATTTAACAACTTGAAGATTACCATATTGAAGGCTTCTTAGATTTGCATATGTGCCAAGGGAGTGGTTCACCAATTGTAGCATGGTTTGGCTAACCTTCCCTTATAAAAGTCTGATATTTTGAATTCAATAATATGTTTCTAAATGAAAAATTCCACAAAATATATTATGCAACATTTCAAAAAACATTGCTACTGGAAAGGATACTCTTTGGCAACATCTCGGACAGGTCCTTGCCCAACAAGGAGAACATGTTTGTTATGGTACTCTTCCATGATCATCAGTGGGGTTGGGGAGTGAACAACCATATCTGGGGTGACCTGATTAAAGAGAAATCAATCAGAATGAATTATTGAATTGAAATGCAAATAAATTTAAAAAAATAACTGACAGTTTTGCATCTAACAGTTGTATTCTTTCAGAAATGCTTACATGGTTTTATGACCATTGATAATCCGTTTCTTCCGAATTTTCAATGCATTTACATTATACTTATAGTTTCAAAATAAAGAAATTAGTTAATAACAGTGAAATAGCAATTATAAAGGTAAAGGTTTTTGATCGATTTTTTTTTGTTGTTTTTTTTATGGATTATCAAAATTTTGTAGGTTATTTAAAGCCAAAAACCTATTTTTGGATTGTAAGTAAATTTTTTATAGCAAATGAATACTGTATGGACAATTTTTTTTTGGGGGGGTGCATATGTGAATATAATGAATCTAACTGGAATTTGAACCTCTCTCATATTCTGAGCCATTCTCAGTTACTTCCCACACACATCCAAAGTGGCCAGGTACTGACCAGGCTAACCATGGATTAAGTTTTTAGACAAGAACCGGTGTATAAATTAATGAAATAAATGTTTCTCGCCAGTTTTACAGGTTTCTACAAATGATTATATAATGATTATATAAATGATTAAAAAAAAAATCATCAATTCGTATACACTGATATTATCTTTTTTTTTTTTTTTTTTTTTTTTTCAATTCAAAAGGTGTTGGATAACACCTGTAGGCTTGCATATTTATCAGCGAGAATCTGTACACCATCATGACCCCTTTTCCATTTAAAAGATTACCCATTATTTGTGCCACTAGTGGATGAAAAGGAGATGCAAACTGAACCCTCAAAGCATGTTAACCTCAAAATTATTGTACACAAAATCTTTGTGCAGTGTTTTAGTTGTACACGGTTGTTTTTGTTTCTGCTGGTTTTCCTATAGTCACTGATTTTTGTTAAATATTGTGGTATATAATCTTTGTGAACCTCCAGCAACATTATTTTTGTCAGAATTTTTCAAAGTTTATTATATGCATTGCTGTTTGGACCAGCATGCTTGTCATAGTTGTTAGACCTGATGTTTCAACTGTTGTACTTTTGGGTCTTCTTCAGTCCGTAGTGGTAAGCTGTCCACATTCTCCTTTCCTTACTTTGAGTATGTTTCATATCCATTGATACTCATCTCCTATGTTGCTTGTCCAACTGACATGAGTTATCTCCCCTGAGCATTGAAAGCAGAATAAGAGCAATCTACCAGTGTGGCTTGAATAAAGGGTTCTGTTTGAATTTCCAAGAACATTGACAAGTATGAAGACACACATTTGAAGAAGACCAAATGGTACAATGGCTGAAATGTTGTCTAACAATCAAGAGGACCATGTTGGTTTGAATAGCAACACACACACACATATATATATATATATATATATACACACACACATACATTAATTCACAAGAATATCTCCATTATATACCAACATTGGTACAAGATAATCCACTGAGCACTCAATCAGAAATATGCTTACTCTCCTGTAAAATCAATGCATTAACCATTATATTACAGTTGATATTCTGGAAAATTGTAAAAAAAAAAAAAACTATTTTTGGATACAAAGTTTGGTCAAGGCTATATTCATTAAGTGGTGGGTAAAAATTGAATATACCTAAAAGAACTTGAGATTTTCATTCTGTTATAAGTGTTCTGTTTATTTCATATGGTTGATAAATAAAAGTAATTCATAAAAAAAGGATAAAATCACCTTTATTTGATACATTGTTTTACAATCTTTTACTTACCTCAATTCCAAGCCAGCCCTGAATTTGAGCTGCTTTGTCAGTACTGCGATTGCAGGCATTGGTGACAAATGCAACAGGTACCCTGAGTTGTCCTTCATCATCAGTTAACACTTTAAATGCATCAATGGCTGCTTGCAAAGGGTTGGTGCCTCGAGCCAAGACACCATCAATGTCAAACATAATACCAAAGTCTGGCTGTAAAAATAGTAAGATTACAAATAAGATGAAGGGATAGATAGAAAAATAGCATTCTGGGATAGATTAAAAACATATATACAGTAATAGTAATAATAATAATAATAAGAACGATTGGCATCTCTTTTTGCTTTCAATGTATGAGTGTCCAGTGAATAAATGTTTTGTTTTAATACAAATATACAAATACAGGAAGGAGAGGGAACAATAAAAGAACAGGAATGAAGAAAACAAGATGACGATTCGTATTTAAATTTTTGAAGATCGAAGTTGACTTGAAAGCAAACAAGAAGTGCTACAAAAGTAACCATTAGCATAAAACTTATGGATATATCTAGCCAATTCAATTGTAAAATGATGAGACCTAGCTGCCAATTTAGTACTGTACTTAAATTCATAAAGTCTAGGTAGCAAAAAGTTCATCAGAACAATTACCATGAAAATATTTATAGACAAGGCACAGTGGTCATAAAATGACTGAAGTCAAGATACCAGGTCAGCACCAATAACATTACAGATTCTTCTTTTTATCTTGTTTAGAATCTCTAAATATATAGCAGAAGCCTCAAACCAGATGTGACAGCAATATTCAATGCATGGATCAATGATAGACTTATAAATGTTTCAGATAGATTCTGGTGAAAAAAAAAATAATTGTCTAGGACAACATTTTCCTAGCAGTAGATTCAATATAATCTTTCTACTATATGTTAGTGGAAAATGTTAGCCTGAGAAGGTGCAATATTTCATTCTCCTGGAGGTTAGCATCAGCCATGCTAATGGAAGGCAAAAAGGGTTCTCTCAAATGATTAAAAGAGAGCTGTTTTGTCTTGGAGGTGCTAAAATTAACAAGCCATTCCTTTCCCTAGTGGGAAATTACTTCGACTGGCCTGCATATTCAAGAGATTTAATAAAGAAAAATGTGCTCTCTCGTAGTGTTTAAATCTGCTTCCTCCTTTGTCAGGAAACTGACATCTGATCTGACATGCTGTAGATCGCAGGTGTCAGGGGCATGTAAAATTACTGGGGTTCACACACACAGAAAAAAAATAGGAAATTGGGGGTTTACAGTGATATTTTAGTAGTCCATAGTGCAATTTCACTTCAGAACAATTGTTACAACTGAAGATTAGAATTTATACAGTAATCTATGCCATATTAAAACAACTCTGAAATTAGCAGAAAACAAGATCAAGCGATGTAAATTAGTATCTGTTTCGTCTACTGGATGTTTTGATTATAAAAGTTGAATAAAAAATGAGAAAGATATGCAAAGGAAGGATTATATATATATATATAGGAAAATTGTATGAAGATTCAAATTTATCATAAATTTGATATATTAATTTTAAATATTAATAAAATACTAATATAAATTGATTTAATATAAAATATTTAAGAAAAATAAAATATTAATAATAAAATTAATTTAATATGTAAGTTAAGGATTATATATAAAGGAAGCATATACATTTACTATTTCTATAATACAATGTCTAAACTTATATATTAGTAAGAAATAAAATAAACTATTTTTTCATCAAATGGTTATGAGGGTCTACGAAAAATAAATTAAGAGGAAAAATTGGCTCATGGGTAAAAAAATGTTGAGCCACTGCTTTGGATGGCAGTGTCACAAAGATCATCACAGCCCAGCAAGATTCAATTTGGGTATCTACTCAAATTTCTATCTTCACAAATATATTTTAGAAATAATGTCTGATTAAAAATAATTTTTTTAAAAAATTCCCTACAAATGAAATAATATTTGCTCGTGTTTTTCTTTTCTTATATATATATGTGTGTGTTAAAAAAATTCTGGTCTCCCCTCGTAAATGTGTATGTGATTGGGGAGGGCGTCAACTTCAATGTACAATGGGTGTAACCACATTTTTAGTTACTACTACTTTGGTGAAATTTATGATACAATGTATCTAAATACAAATTAGAGACATGTCATAATAGATCATTCCATTTGAAATAAATCAACAATGTTTTGGGCAATTTTAACATCAACTTGTGATTTTTCTTGTTAAAAGTTGTTGAATTTTTTTTAACACATTCAACATTATCAATAAAAATAGTAAATTTTTATGGAGTTTTAATTTTTCAAGGCTTAAAAAAATTCACGGTTTTGACGGGGGTGGGGGAAGAAGACCTGAATGACGTCAAAATCTGAAAATTGCTTTAATTTGTAATCATCTTCAATCATCCCCCTCTCCCTGGTCTTGGGAGTTCGGTGGTGTATGCACCGGCCCTGTTTATTTTATTTTATTTTGTTTACCCAGGTTCACATTGTCTTTTATCATTCATCGTGGCATACCAGAAACAAAACATAAGAAAATGTGAGGTCAAAATAAACAACCACAGCTGAAATTCGAACTCAGTCCGCCGGTTCGGTTTTTATCTCTCTCTCTCTCTCTCTCTCTCTCTCACTCACTCACTCACTCACTCACTCACGCCTTTTTGTAGGTCATAAAAAGAAATCAGCTGTTACATTATATAACCCAACCTACTATTTATTTGTTGACTGTTTTATTTAGCTCACTAGCCCGTACAGCTGCACTGATTTGGTAACGTGGAAAGAAAGAAAAAGAAGAAAAGAGAATCGTTTTACTGCACAGTCGACAAACAAGATTTTCAACGAACACGCTCCAGTCATGTTGCGAACACGGGAGGCGAATGCATAACAACATCGAATCGTTAAACGGGATAGTAAGTTTGAAATGTAAGCCACGTGGTTTGCCAGTCTAACTATGCGTGGTTTACATTTTATTTGTCAGCTGAAAATATCTTGTAAACATTAGCATATAAATACTAGTAAAGTCTTGTATGAGTGTTTCTTGCATAATAATAGGTTCCGCCAAAAATTCGCTAACAAAGGAGACGACATCATGAAAAAGTGCCCCCCCCCAAAAAAAAACATAATAAAAACAAAATGTTATCGTCAAAATCTTTGTCTTATTATTAAGACTAAGAGGAAAGATCAAATAATTTTTCATACAAAAAACTTTTTTTTTTAATCCTTTTCAGAACCTTGGAAATTTTTATCAATTTTTTTTTTTTTTTTTCGTCAACGCGGGACCTTAAATTTGTACGGGAAATTTCAGTGTCTTTTTGCGGTGAAAAACTTTGATTTGGAAATTCCTGTAAGAATCAGATAATTGTCGAATTTTCCGTGATATTCTCTCGTACATTCATATTTGCTCGATGCTTATCCAAATGTATACAAATGACGTCACACATTATGAAATGGACAAAGTTTTTTTGTGTTTATACGTTCTTTTTATAGATAAATATAAAAAATGTCTTAAAATAATTGTCGGACTTTGTCCATTTCATAATATATATAATTTCACATTTTAAAAACCCTTATGAACATATGTTTTGGCTGCTTCTGCATCATCATCATCCTGCGGCCTCAGCCGAGATTGAACTCACTACACCTCTCCAGTATTCCCTATCCGTCATAGCTCCTAAAAGATCTTCCTTAGGATAAAACGGGACACATTGATCCCTATCTGGAAAGGTTAACTTGCGTGATCGATTGTCAGATGATGGGTGCCTTGAGTACAAATGATGACACAAGTTCATCTGTGGCACGTGCACAATGCCCGGCGAACTGGACACGTCTCTTACAAACTAAAGTTGATACTCTTGGCAAGTCTCCATATATCATTTCTAGAGTTGGGTGGTTTCGCCATGAGAGATTAAGCACTCTTCTTAAAAGACGGCGCTGTTGTTTTGCTGAGAGAGTCCAAGTTTCAGAGCCATATAGTAAGATTGGCTCAATAAGTACGCGGAAAATTTGGATTTTGAATTGACGAGCAAGATTGGATTTCCAGATCTTATCCATTTTGTTACAAGCAGTCCATGCTATGCCTTTTCTAATGTTGAAATCTTTCTGCAAGGGGATCGAAAGAAAGCGAATTAAGACCGCAAACTGTCCTCCACTATTAGCTTTTATAAAACTTTATTTTTGTCATGATTTGAAGTGTTTACTTAATCTATAGCAGTCATGGACAACCTTTTTTAAACATTGGGCAGCATGAGGTACAGTACTCACGACTCAAAGAAATAAGGTATCTTTTAAAATTAAAGATACCGCAGCCATTTCCCCACCCAAAATTAGAAATGGGGGACGCTTTCTTTTCTTCGATGAAAAGATTCCTTGCATAATTACAAAAATTAGATCTTGGTATAATATTATCACTGATGATAGCGTGATTAACACATTGCTGGATGTCGTTTGTTTATAACTTATTCATCTGAGGAGACAAAAACTTTTGTAAAAGAATAATAATAATAATTATCATTGACGTTCCTGTTTCTGAAACAAAAGATGTTTATGCGTATGATCTTCCTTAGTGAAAATCGCCAATGGTTTAAAATGCTGACAACGTTACCTTCAAGGAATTGTTACAAAATTCAATTATGTATGTGGTTATACTTGAGAGTTTGTGAATGAACAAGTGAGAACAACATTTTAATAAACTTTATTTCCTTCATGAGATTAGGCGGCCATTCAGAAAACCATTCGGTCCATAGTTTGCCTATGACTGATCTATAGCAATATGAAAAAAAAAAACAATGAGATAAACCAATGAATATTTATGTTTGCGGTACCTATTGTAAAACTTCTCCCGAACTGAGAGTTTCGTTAAAGCAATCCTTCTCAATGAGAACATTAAGGATTTCCCACTTAGAGGCAGTGTGAACTTTTGTGGAATCTTCCACGTCAGTCAGTCACCCCTGCATGGGTAAATAAACTATTCCCTGTAAGTGAATATATGACAAGCATTCATTGGTTAATCACCTTCAATCTAGCTCGCTGATTGGTCAGTTCCGACCAATCAAACCGCCTGCACGCGACAAATCTGTTTTCCCGCGTTTTCCATCCGAGCCAGTCACGTGATTCACGATCATATATAAACAAAAAACACGAGCGATTCTCTCTCTCTCGCGCGCTCGTCTCATTCCTTGCTGCCAAGATGTAATCT